GAAGCATGTATACCGCTGCACCGCGTGGATGCCAGCAGCGCCGCCGCGTGCTATGATCTTGGCCTTGAGTCGATCGAGGACGTTGCCAGCAAGGACGCCCGTCGCACGAGGCGGTGCGCCAAAACGAGAGGTAAACCGCGCGTGCAGGGCCGGAATGTCGATCACTTGAGACCCTACCCCTGACGTTGCAGATCGATAGAGTTATGGCGGACGCAGAAGGCACCCGAATCGTCCATGGCGCGGGCAATCACGAGGGCGTCGCGGGACGAGAGCATCTTGTCTCGCTTGCACAACGCCGTGGCAAAGGCCTTGAGATGCACGCGCTCTTGCCCACTGCCGAGGACGCGGTTGGCGCCAAGGCGGTGGGCAAGGCCGTCGACGGTACACGGCGGGTCGAAAAGCGCGTGCTTGACGTACGCCAACGGGTCTGAAAGTCGCGCTGCAAAGGCGTCGGCATGCTTCTCTTCGTGGGCGCGGCGTGGCGTCACGGTCGCTTCGACGACGCGCTAGAAAACAAGCATGTAAAATATCATAAAGAGCAATAAAAAGTACTTGGTTGCCGTCAGCGTCTTCGTGAAGCACACGCTTGTTGGCCGAGTTGGCGCACCAGCCAACGCCACCGGAAATGCGCCACGCATTCCGAATCATGAGCTCGAAGTACGCATCGTCGTCGATCGACGCGCTCACATTCTACGCCATATATAAAATAAAAAACACTCAATAAAAATGACAATGGACAATAATGTACCTGGTAGTAGTGCTCAAACTCGGCGAGTGTGATCACACCGTCCTTCTCGTCCGTGTCCCACTGCGCCATGAACTCGCAAAGGATATCGTCGGCAGCCTTCTCGCCGCTAATGAACGCCGGGTGCTTGGACGGGTCGTAGAGGTCGCGGACGTCGTCGAGGGTGACGACGCCATCACCGTTGACATCGAGCTTTCGGAACGCGAGGTTGATCATTGCAAGACGCGCGGGTGCGATAGGACCACGCAGTGCGAGGAGAAACTCATCAAAGCTAATCGACCCGTCGCCGTCACGGTCCAGCGCACGCATGATGGCATCGATTTCAGACGGCGAGCAGTCGACACCAAAGTCCCGGAGACCAAATTGCAATTCGTCGCGGCTCAAGCGACCGTCACGGTTGGTGTCCAACGCTCGCATCGTTCGACTGAGCGTATGGATACCGGCATGGTCCCCACTACGTCGCAAAAATACTGCTTTCACTTGCGCGAGAAGAGCGTCCCTACACGCGACAGTAAGAGAACATCTAAATTCTGCATCACAGCGTCGTACGGTGCAGGAGCATCGTTGTTGGATCGCATCGACGCTTGCGATGCCCGGCTTTTGGACGGCTGCAGTGGTGTTGACGGGGCCTTGTTGCGTGACACGGACGTCAACGGTCGACTGGCGGCAGGAGGAACGCGCGAGGTGCTTGACCGATGGGTGGAGCCCGTGCTCGTTCGGCTAAGTCGGGTGGACGGCACTTGGTTGGACGCTGGGCGACTTGCAATCGTCGACCGCCCGGTCGATAGGATGCTTCCATGGCTCGGCGCCCGACTTTTCTGGGCGGTGCCAGGACGCTGGTCGTGGCGGCTTTGGTTGTCGGAGGGATGGACAGAGGACGCTCGTTCGGACTTGATTTTTGCACTGGCCGCCACCGACGAGGAGGCTGTCAAAGGCCGGACATCGTGCGTGCTCTGGTTGGAGGCGGGTCGACCGTACATGGCCTTGCTGACGGCCGACGCACGGGTGCTCGCCGTCGCTGGTCGAACATCGTGGCGGATCTGGTTGGAGGAGGGGCGGCCGTACATCGCCTCGGACGCCCGGCTATCGCCTTTGCTCGGTGTCAACGCCGGCGATTGCTTTTGAAACGCAAAGGACACGCGGCCTTGGGTGCAGAGCCACTCGCCAAGCGGAAGAAAGCCGAGGCGGATGTCCTCGCCGCGCGCCATGGCGTCTGTCAGCACTTGTAGGACGGCATCAACAAAAGCCGCCACACAATTCTCGTCGAGACGCTGGATCCGGGCCGCGTGGGCAAGGCTGAGCGGTGGTGCTAGCTTCACTGGCGTTTTGGCAAACGCGACGTCGACAAAGGTACTCGGAGGTTCAAACTGGAGAAAGCGTTCGAGGCGGATGGGGACGCGTCGATGAACATGGTCGCAAAGGCCCTCGACGAGACACTTCCAGAGCTGGACACCGGCCGGCAGCGACAGCCCTGGCGTGGCTTCACTGGCGGCTTGGACGACGTCGGCCGTCACGACACTGGCGCGGGCTTGCATTCTTATCGTTTCTCAACGGCTCTCGCCTCGAAAACGCTCCGTCAACACGAGCCAAACTCGCCGAGGCAAGTTCCTTTCAAAAAGGACTGGGGTACTCTAGATAGGACGCAGGATCTCGAGTCGACATTGACAATCACCATTGTCGGACGTATTCAGTGTGTGGTTTTGACACTACTTTAGACGCTGCCAACGATACCAACGCGGGTGACGAACCCTACACCTACCCGAACCACAACCTATTTCAAGCCTGTTTTGGCGCAAAATAGCATCATGTACGTTCAACAGCTCATTATAGAGGAATGCCCTGCTATTCGAGACACATGCATATTCCTCGATGCGATCGTGGCGACGATGACAGTAGCCCAACCAAGGCCGACTCGTACGACTCCAACCAGCTCGAGCACGACATGACGTGGCAGAACAAGCGTCAAGGACTCGAGCCCGAGATGGAGTGTCTCTTGAGCGACACTACTGCGTCCATGTGCTTCCACGTGTCCTATGCAACGCTCCAAGAAGAGCCACGGCGACGATCGTGTTCACAGCGCACGATTACCCGGATTGCATTTGCGCCACTGGATTGGGCGTCGCCCCAGTGGACGCCAACGTCCATCGTCTCCACAGTCGTCGAGTACCGGCCGTTCGAGGCCCCGCTCGCAACACGCTACACGCTCTTTCCCCGAAGATTTCTGTCGCTCCAACCGATGCTGACGCGCCACGACGTGTTGCAGGGATACGACCCAGCCAGCTTGTGGCTGGAAATCTCGGGCTAACCTCTCCAAGGCTCGATGGAAATGGGATGGCACAAGAAGGATAATCACACGAACATATTTGGAGTTTAGGATGCGACCGATTTACTCGCACGAAGCCGCGCGAGCATGCTTTCTTCCCAGTCTTCCCACTGCTCTTTTTCGTTTTCCAAAAGGAGGCGTTGGCGCTTCTGGCTCAAGTACGGGTGCGCACACACAAGACCGATGATCGCCAGCACTGGCAGACCTTCGACCGGGCAAGCAAAGGAGAAATAGAGAGTCATGAGACCCAACAGCGGCCAAAACGAGAAGAGCTCGAGCTTGGCACTGCAGATCTTGCCCGTCTCCTTGGAGGCGAGCTGCTTGACGTCCTTCGTCGTCGGGTTTTTGATCGCATCAAACGCAGACGTGTCAATGGTCTTGGGTGCGTACAAGAAGCGCGGCGCGCAGTCGATCCACTCGCCCGCGTACAAGACACCAATACCAAAGGCACCGACTACGAGGTTGAGCGCCATGCTCGGTTTTGGCAAATGGCAAACTGAGATCTGAGTGG